ATGCCCATTTAGTCTTGTTTTGTTTTATGGCCTGTCTAATCCTTGGCTGAAGGGTGAACCTCAGGAGTGACTTCGGTACTGAGTTAAAAGGGTGTTGGGGGGCTATACTCTTGGGGTTTCTTCAGTCTGTCAGACCAGTAAGTCTGGTCTTTTCTTGTGAGTTAGAATTTTGTTGTACATTTTTCTCCAGCTCTGTCTGGAACCCTCTGTTGTGATCCCTGTCAGAGTAGTTGGTGGTGGTAGCTGCGTACCATCTAGTTGTGCTGGACTCAGTCTGGTGGAGGCTGTGGTAGTTGTGGTCCATTAGTCCTTTGGACTAATCTTTCCCTTGTGTCTTTGGTTTTCCTCATTCTCTCTTGCTCCAGATGAGGTGGGACCAGTGGAGTGTCTTGGGTGGCCCGCTCACTCATTGTGACATTTTGTGTAATTATAGTACAGTATCAAAATCAGAAAATTGCCACTGGTACAATCCACAGAGCTTATTAGATTTTACCAGTTTTATATATGCTTATTTGTATGTGTGTATATATGTATAGTTCTATGCAGTCTTATCACGTGTAGATTTGTGTAACTACCACCACTATCCAGATATAGACCCATTCTAGCACTGCATGGAGCTCATTTTTCAGTCTGTCATATATATATATATATATATATATATGTGTGTGTGTGTGTGTGTGTGTGTGTGTGTGTGTGTGTGTGTTTAAATTTGATTGTGGTATTAACATTTTTTGATGGAACGTTCCCCACCCCAAATCTTCCGGGCCGAATAGTTCTCCATCTTGTGCTTGTGTAGTTCAAGGGATGAAACACATCTTTCAGGGTTTTTGAATTTAGACAGCCTCAGCTAACATGGTGTCTTAGTCATCTAGTGCTACTATAACAGAAACACCACAGGTGGATGGCTTCAACAAAGAGAAATTTATTCTCTCACAGTCTAGTAGGCTGTAAGTCCAAATTTAGGATGTCAGTTCCAAGGGAAGGCTTTCTGTCTCTGTCGTCTCTGGAGGAAGGTCCTTGTGATGCATCAGTCTTCCCTTGGTCTGGGAGCATCTCAGCACAGGAACCTCAGGTCCAAAGGATGTGCTCTGCTCCTGGCACTGCTCTCTTGGTGGTATGAGGTCCCCCTGTCTCTGCTCACTTCTCTCTTTTATATCTCGAAAGAAATTGGCTTAAGGCACTCTCTAATCTGGTAGATCTCATCAATATAACTGCTGCTAATCCATCTTATTACATCATAGTGATAGGATTTACAACACATAGGGAAATCACATTAGATGACAAAATGGTAGACAGTCTTACAATACTGGGAATTATGACCTAGCCAAGTTAACAGATATTTTTGGGGGACACAATTCAATCCATGACACATGGTATACGAGGTTCATATGATAATCATAAGAGGTAAATTTGCACTTTCATAGGAAAAGCAATGGGCAGCAGTAGCAGAAGATGATTAACAACAGACTTCCCCGGATGGTGGAGGAAGAGGCTATGGAATACCACTCTCTTTGTGACATACTCTGCTTTTGATATGGGCTTGCCATGAGCAGGCAATAATGATAATGATAGCTAATATTTGTTATTCTCTGCTTTATATATGCATTATCTCATTTAATTTTCACAGCAACCTCTGTGAGGTGTTACTATTATCTATTTTATAGATATGGAAATGGAAACTTAGAGGGGTTAAGTAACATGTCTGAAGACATACAGTAAGTGGTGGGATTTGACTCTATCCATGTGGTGTAGTGGTTAAGAGCTTGGCTGCTAACCAAAAGGTTGGCAGTTCGAATCCAGCAGCTACTGCTTGGAAACCCTATGGGACAGTTCTACTCTGTCCTGTAGGGTTGCTGTGAGTTGGACTCGACTCGATGGCAGCAGGTTTGGTTTTGGGTAGTCTGATTTTAGAACTTCCATTCTTTCTTTTTAGTACTGTACTTTAGATGAAGGTTTACAGAACAAACTAGCTTCTCATTAAACAATTAGTACACATACTGTTTTGTGACATTAGTTACCAACCCTATGACATGTCAACACTCTCCCATCCCTACCTTGGATTCCCTATTACCAGCTTTCCTGTTCGCTCCTGCCTTCTAGTCCTTGCCTCTGGCCTGGTGTGCCCTTTAGTCTCGTTTTGTTTTATGGGCCTGTCTAATCTTTGGCTAGCGGGTGAACCTCAGGAGTGACTTCATGACTGAGCTAAAAGGGTGTCCAAGGGTAATACTCTTGGGGTTTCTCTAGTCTCTGTCAGGTCAGTAAGTCTGGCTTTTTTTTTGTGAGTTAGAATTTTGTTCTACATTTTTCTCCAGCTCTGTCCGGGATCCTCTATTGTGATACCTGTCAAAGCAGTCAGTGGTGGTAGGTGGGCACCATCTACTTGTGCTGGACTGAGTCTGGTGTAGGCATTGGTAGTTGTGGTCCATTAGTCCTTTGGACTAATCTTTCCCTTGTGTCTTTGGTTTTCTTCATTCTCCCTTGCTCCTGACGGGGTGAGACCAGTGGAGTATCCTAGATGGCCGTTCACAAGCTTTTAAGACTCCAGACGCTACTCACCAAAGTAGAATGTAGAATATTTTCTTTATAAACTATGTTATACCAGTTGAGCTAGCTGTTCCCCGAGACCATGGTCCTCACAGCCCTCAGCCTAATAATTCAGTCCCTCAGGGAGTTTGGATGTGTGTATGGAGCTTCCATGATCTTGCTTTGGACAATTTGAGCTGGCTTCCCCAGTATTGTATACTGTCTTACTCGTCATCAAATAGAACTTCTATTCTTTACCACAGTGCTATACAGCAAATAGAAACTTTCATGGATAAGGGTAGGAAGTTTTGAGTTTATGGCTTTTGAAGTTAGGTTAAATATGCCTAGAAGGAATGAATACACAGTGAGAAACCATATTATCTAGAGGTGGAAATTCTGAATTGGATATTTGGTATCTAGGTTGTTGGTTCCAGCTCTACTCATCTATGTGACCTAGAACAGTCCCTTCCTCTCCTTATGTCTTAGTTACTTCAATCTCAGAGGTATTCAAATGGACTGATTTTCTGTGAGAATTACTCAAAAAAGACTGTGAAGGCCAAGTGGTATTCTTTGGGTTATTTTATTTCGACTCCTTTGTTGGAGCAAGTTCCCAGTGTGAGAAAGTTCTGGAGCTTGTGGCTAATATGGCCAAATGCCAAATTATAGCTACTTGAGGAAGTCTTTTCTCACCTCTGGGATTTTTTTTTTTTCCTAATTCTGCCTTACCTCTGTTGTAAAGTCTAGATACTTTGTATTTTTTCTGTTGCTTCCTGGCCTTGAGAGGATCCTTTCGCAAAAATCGTGCTCTCTGTAATTTGAGAGCATTTGTGGCCAGAATATGTTTTTGCAAAACAATGTAGTTGAGAATTAGGAGTGACTGGAGAGTAAAGAGGAGGGAATGGAACCAGAGGACTGGGAGGTATTATAAAGTGTGCCGAAGTACTAAGCATCTTCTTATTAGGTTCCCCACTGTTGAGCCAATAGTCTAGTTGGACCAAAGGAAAGAGAAATGTTGCTTTTAAGAACTAGTGAGGAGAATCTGGATACAAATGTTGAGAGTCCTTGAAATTAAGAGACAAGGTCTGTGACCAAAAAAAAAAAAAATTACCAACTATATCTTTTATTATATTAGTAATACTTGTTATTTACAATTAGGTGTATTTTGAAAGTCCTGATCATTTCTTTTCTCAAATTTTGAGATTACTTTCCCAGATGTTGGGATTACTTTGTTGAAATTATTCAGGCAAAGTCTCAGTTAAAATGGAATAGAAGGTTACATTTTACATTAATATCGAGGGGATAAATCTGCCTTCTCAGTATTAAAAGCAACAACAGTCAGATCTTCAAATTGGGGATAAAGACAGGATGGCCATTTCAGTCTCTGGTTTGTAAAGATATGGACACAGGGCAGAAGGAAAGAACACCACAGACTCATGCCTTTCTATGTTTACTCATTTTTTAGGGCTCGTTGGAATAATCTATCTCATTGCTCTTTTTTTTTTCTGGCCCCATGGTAGTAAAGAGCAAAGTCCCAGAGGTTGAGAAACAGTTCACCACTGTTATTCAGTCTGTTACCTTGATATGTTTATTCTGATGTTGCAGCAGTGGCCTTTGTCACTAGAGCTTATAAGACAGTTTCTAGAAATTAACTTAAAAACACAGCACAAAAACCTAATCAAAGGTGATAGAAGTCAAAATAGTGTTTACCCCTGGAGGGTAGGGTGGATGAATATTGACTGGGAAGGGGCATGAGAGAGTCTGTGGGAAAGTGTGAAGTTCTGTATCTTGATCTGGGTGATGGTTATATGCATGTATTCATATGTAGAAATTAATTAGTCATGACACAAGTTTGGTACACTTTATGCACTTTTATGCTTGTATGTTATACCTTATTAAAAAAAAATGAAAAAAAGCAAAAGCAAGCATCCCGTGATAAGAATGGGCCCGTGTTTCTTTAACTCTAGCCTAGCATTCTGCCTCTCAGATTCTCTTAGTAGGCATATTAAGATGAAATGAGGTTCCTTTTGTTGGGATGGTGCAAACTCTAGACAGAGGGAGAACAGACCAGAGGCTTGACAGGGGCTCTTCTGTTCTCCCTTAGGTCCTTACCATTTCCCTGCAGTACCTTCAAGGAAGGTGGAGGCCCTGGTGCCTGCTCCTTCTTGCTAAGGTCTCTTATACTTCAGGGAGAGGGGTTTGTTCCTTAATTCTTTCCTGAGGCTCCTTATTTGGTCTTTTGTTCACAATTCTCAGTAAACTTCTTCCCTAGGCTTCTTAGAAGTGGGCTGGATATTGAAGAGGATGTAGAACATTTAGTAGTCAGTATTTCCTTTTGACCAGGGGTCTCTGGGAACATCTACAGGGTTTTGTCTGATTTGGCTTAGTTAAGAGGATCAGTTGAATATGTGTAGTACTCTCCCTTTCCCTGGTCCTTCACTGAACCTGGTGTGATTTCCCCAACTCTCTGCTCCTTGCAGATCCCTTATCTGTGTCCCCTGCCCGCTGGGCAGAAGAATATCTGGAACAGTCAGAGGAGAAGCTGTGGCTGGGAGAGCCTGAGGGGACATCCGCCACTGATCGTTGGTGAGTCCAGCAGCTTCTTTCTGGATCCCTGTGAAAGGAGTAGACAGTTTTCCCAGCTTCTTGCAACCTTCTCCTTCCACATTCTCAAACCAACTTGCAATCGCCTCTTTTTTTACTTGCATTTTTAAGGTTTCCATTTGCATTATTACTCCTGTCAGTCTACCTCTCATATGTAGTGAAGTCAAGAATCCTAACTGTATCCTACCAAAAATTGATAACTTTACCTTTGCACCCTTTTCCCTTTTTAGATTTGAGTTTGCTATTGTCTGTTCCTTCTCTTTGCAAAGATGTGTTTGGGAAAGAGAGAGGTGAAAGGCTGTAGCTAGTACTTTCCCAGTCCTGCCCAAATGTCCTTTTTTAATGTAAATAAGAATTTGTAGGCCCCCAGCAAGAGAGTGAAGTAGTGTCATCCTCTCTCTCCCCCCATGGAAACCGTAATTGCCATGGGCCAAGAGTGAGGAATAGCAGGGAAGGTGGTGGCAGACTAATGTGTAAAGTGAGGTTTGTCCTTCCCTGTTCCAGGTACGATGAATATCATCCTGAGGAGGATCTGCAGCACACGGCCAGTGACTTTGTGGCCAAGGTGGATGACCCCAAATTGGCTAACTCTGAGGTGAGCCACATCCCGCTGCTTCTTCGCCTAGCAGAGCTGGTCTTGGAAGGCAAGAGTCTTGCTTCTCTTACCTGAGTTAAGTTTAAAGAGAGGCAGATGAGATCCTAGGTCTTCTCCTTCCTGTCCATAGAACAGAGACTTAGGATCCTGCTTCTCCCTTCCAATATTCTTTCTCTTTTCTGATGCTTTCTCAAACCGTTAGAGCCAGAAATCCCTTTCTTTTTGCTCTCTACTTTTCTCAGGGTCATTAGCATATCTTGTCTGCAGCTAGCGGTGGTCAGGGGGAGGGGAGAGTGCAGGGTTGTCTGGGCATGGTTGAGAGTGCACCCGTGGAAATCCTCTCCCAAGTGGCCTGTGTGTGTCTCTGTGCCCCAGTTCCTGAAATTCGTGCGGCAGATTGGCGAGGGTCAAGTGTCCCTGGAGTCCGGTGCAGGGTCGGGCCGAGCTCAGGCAGAACAGTGGGCAGCAGAGTTTATTCAGCAGCAGGTAGGCTATTGTCACGTCCCAGTCCCACTTCAGAGCCAGCCTGTGCCCCAGGTCTTGGGCTCACTGTTCAGTGGTCCCAGATAGGGAAGGGATCGTTATTGCTAGATTCTCTTGGTAGTGTCCACGTCCTGAGTGGGTGGGAAAGAGATTCTGAGAATGTCCTCCTTCTCAGATGTGTTGAGGTGGGTGGTGGTTAGTGAGTGTTTAGTTGATGTTTAGTGGATAGAAAATTGGTGGTGGTGGTACCGACCAGCCTTCTTTGTCACAGGATACATCAGAGGCCTGGGTTGACCAATTCACGAGACCAGTAAACACATCTGCCCTTGATATGGAGTTTGAGCGAGCCAAGTCAGCGATAGAGGTGAGAGCAGATAGTGCAGGGGCAGGCACCCAAAGAGAAAACACACCTTTGGTGAGAGTGGATGTATTAACATCAAAGATGATGAATTTGCGTTTAATAGTGTTCCTGGGTCATCTGTGTCAGAATTGCTTGGGGAGTGGGGTGGTGCCTTTTAAAAATGTCAGTTCCAGATCTCTGGGGATAGGATCTAGAAATCTGTGTTTTAAAAAAGCTCTTCAGATGATTCTTAAATACATTGACATTTAAGAACTACTCCCCTGGGAGTCCTCGTGGGCTTGAGGGTGGGATGGGGTGGTCATGACGAATGTACCTTTTGCATCTCCCTTCCCGTCCTTACAGTCTGATGTCGATTTCTGGGACAAGTTGCAGGCAGAGTTGGAGGAGATGGCAAAACGGGATGCTGAGGCTCACCCCTGGCTGGTTGACTACGATGATCTCACGTCTGCTTCCTATGATAAGGTAGGAACTGGCTTTTCAGGTTCCAGAATTTCCTTCTTTAATTGTCTCTTCTTTAATTGTCTCTTCTTTAATCCTACATTTGAAAGGTACTCACTTTTAAGTAAGTGTTTTCTTCAACCCTTTCCATGAAAAGAAGTCTGAATCATTTCCTTGCTCCTGCTCCCCTTCGGTAATTGAGTGTATGTATACTTTATTCTTGGCCTATAAAGGTTAGTATGATCACCCTTGGCAAATAATGACATTACAGTGACATAACTATAGTAGAGGCTTGTGCACGATGCATGAAGAGCACAGATGAAGGGGCTTTACTTAGGGGGTCAGATAGTGAACATTTTGAGAAGATCGCTAACTCCTCAGGTAGGGAGTGGTAGTTGGTAGACTATCTCTCTGCCTCTAGTATCTTTTTTAACTCACAAGTTTAAGTTCTAATCTCTTTTAATAGGCATTGGTGGGTGGGTGGAGCCACTTGTCCCAATTCAGGGTTTACAAAGAATTATATTAAATATTAGGAAATTTCCCACCAGTCAGTGGTGAAAAGTGGTTGAATTTTGCATACAGCATGTACTATCGACTTAGAAGCTTATGTTATATCAGGGCTGTCGCTATAAAAAAACAAGTCTACTTGTGGATTATAGGGTACTTGGAATGTATGTAGTTAACAATTGAACTCTTGAGTTGAAGCATGAGGGGGCAGGGAGAAAATTGCTTGGTTTTGAAAAAAAGCAAAACAGGTACTGGGGAGGTCAGTAGTGATGTCTTTTTCTCAGCTTAGATCTGGTTGGGAAAGGATTCTGGGGTGAGAACCAGGGCCTAAGATGTAAAGCAGGATACTGGAGCTGGATTGTGAGAAAACGAGGGGGCCGTGCAAAGATAGGAAAGAAGGAAGTTAAGGATAACTTAAAAAAGGCTAGGATTTGACAGCCAATGAGAAACTCTTAGAGCTAGGAAAAATACGCTTTTGCTTATTATTCCAGCCTGATCCCCCCTGCCCCCCTGTCCCCGTGAGAACAATTCTGTGATATGATAGAGAAGAGAGCTTGCTTCTTGGAACCCTGCCTAAGTTTTGCCGTAATGAGTTTATTCTGTAGAATTCTGATGAGGAACTGAAGGAAATGCCTGGAGATAATGCTTTTATTAATTTGTACTAACAGTTTGATAAGTTGCATAAGTCCCATTAACTTATAAATGACATTATAAATTTTAGATAAAAAATTCCATGCTTTTGATACAAATGTAGACAGTACTGATTTCATATGAGTAGTATTTCCTCTTAACATTTATTACTCTCATATTTATGATATGTTGGCTGGAATACATTTTTTAATTAAAAACTTAAAAATATAGTTATGTTTTTAGATCCTTGAGCCCTATTTGATATCATTGATACCTTGGGATTTTGCAAAAATAGGATTAGAAACTCTTGCATTACTATTCCACAAAAAATACTGTATTTTATTACTCACTAATAATGAACAATTTAGATTCTGTTTGGCTTTATGTTAACTAATAAATGAATTATATATGTCAATAGTACTTTAAAAAAATATGGATCTGATTCTCATTGTCAGATAAATTCATGGGTCTCTTTGTACTTTTTTTACTGAATTTTCAGAGGCAACTTTACATCTATAGCTCAAGCAGGTATTTTATACTCTGACCATAAGTGGGAAGTTTCTGTGGCAGGACAGACTCTTAGCAATGATCCTGTTTCTGCAGTGTGATCCTATGAAACTTTGGAATGGACCAGACTATAGTGGACCAGTCATGGTGATTGGCTTGGGTAGACTTTTCAGGCTACAGCAGTAATGCCAGGCTCATCCTGCATGCTGTGGTTTGCTGAGAGTTCCTTCAGAATATACTTTTTCAATCTGTGCGTATATTCTAACTTTGGAAAATTCTTCTCTGATCAACAATGTAAGGAGGATAGATAGCATGGACAAGGAAGATACTTAGAGAACCCTGTGGTTGCAAGATGATGGCATTGATTTTGTTGCACTGAAGACACAAAGAGCATTCAGATCACTCCTATTGTCATATACAGACCATTACATCTTAAGGAAGTATCCAAAGCAATGAGGATAATACCTATTTATGACTAGTATTTTACATTTTTTGGTAAGGCTTTGGTGTATATTCTCATTTTGATGCTCTCAATAGCTAACAGTCAGAAATTATTTTCATCAGGAAATTGACTTATAGATGATAGTAATCTTTGTTTCCTGCAGTGTGGATTAACACATGGATTGATGATGGACAATAGTTAAGGCTGTGTGCAGAAGGATTTATTCTATTGAACTCTAATAGTCTAAGGCAGGGGTCGGCAAAATGACCTGCAGGCCAAATCCAGCCCGTCACCTGTTTCTATAGGACCTGTGAACTGAGAATGAGAATGGTTTTAGCATTTTTAAATCGTTGAAAAAAAATTAAAAGAAGAATTATATTTTGTGACATGTGAAAATGATTGGAAGTTCAAATTTCAGTGTCCATAAATAAAGATTTTTTTTTTTCTGAGCACAGCTATGAGCATTTGTTTACATATTGTCTGAGGCTGCTTTGTGCTACACGATGAAGTTGGATAGTTGTGAAAGACCTGCAAAGTCTAAAATATTTACTGTCTGGCCCTTTACAGAAAAAGTTGGCTGATCCCTGGTCTAGGGTTATTTTCTACCTTTTGAGTTTTTATATTGTACAAAGATGTCCCGAGAACATACCTACTCTCAGTATGAATATACTTTTTATATTTATACATTTATCTTAGATCCATCTCTTATTATGTGTCTTGCTGCTTAAACCTCCATTGTAATTATTTAATTTCCCTTTGTGACAAATAATTTGCTTCTTATGGTTTATACTAGTTTAAAACTTGGCTGGTAAGATTTATGTGTTTCTGATTCTTCAGCGATTTCACAATAACAATGAAAAGGGGCCTCATGTCTTTGTTATGTACAGTTTCATTCAATTTGTCCTTAACTGCGTTCAGAAGGGCCCAGCCTGATATTTTGCATCGTGTTTTTATTCTGATATATTGTTTCATAATGATAACCATTTGTTCCCCAAAAGGAGCATTTTAGTTGCTTGTCCCAAGTCATACTGCTTGCTAGTGAATCCCATGTTACCTTACTATCCCTCTGCTTAACATAAAATATCAGTGGACAGAGCTTTGCAGATAGCATTATCACTTTTCTCTCAAATTAGAAATCCTCAACTGGAAGTGGCATTGTGAAGAGATAACAATGTCTTTCAGAAAGATTCTCTGCCATCAGGATTTTGGCATCCAGCTTTCATTTACTACCAGATACAGATTAATATTAGTAATAATTAAGAATGAAATTGGTAAATAAATAAAAAATTTCAAAGTGCTTAAACACATGCTATCCAGTCAATGCACAGGATGACTCTATGAACTAGGTAAGAGTTGCAGCTGTGAATGGCAGGACCTCTGACTCCAAATTGCATTTTCTATAGGGTCGCTATGAGCCGGAATTGACTCGACGACAACGGGTTTGGTTTGGTTGGTTATACATTATCACAATTTTGCAGGATAACGAGAAGTGTACTTTGAAGAGCGAAGGAGAGCTTATCTCATTACTATTACTATAGGCAGGTCCTGTTCAGTGGTGAGAATTCAAGGATGTGGAAATGCAGGCCTATCAAGACTTTCTAAAATAAGCCTATTCCCAGCCCGAGTCAGAGTTTGTAGACTTGCATAGCTTCTCAGTTATTGTGAACAGGAGATGGCAGTGTGAGCATGATACTACTGCATGGTTTTACTTTAGTTGTAGGTGATCTCCTTTGTAATATGGAGAATTTGCCAACATTTAATTTAGGTGTCTTTTTAGAGGACTTCAGCTTCTTTCTTCTCCACCTCTATTGTGGTTGTCATCTTCCCATCCCTGCTGCTCTGACTATGATAGTTCTCTTAGAGGGTTTCTCACTTGCTTCCCTTCCTTGTAGGGGTACCAGTTTGAGGAGGAGAACCCCCTGCGTGACCACCCCCAGCCTTTTGAGGAAGGGTTGCGGCGACTTCAGGAGGGGGACCTGCCGAATGCTGTGCTGCTTTTTGAGGCAGCTGTGCAGCAGGATCCTAAGCACATGGAAGTGAGTGACTCGTTATTCTGACTTCAGACTGGAGACTGCTTCCTCCAGTTCGGAGGGAGGTTCCAAAGAGGGTAGTGCAGGTGGGTTAGGGCTGAGTGATAGCCTGGGGTGGAGGAGGTGAGAGTGAGATAGTGAGGGGGGAAGCCAGAGTAAAGGAGGATGGAAAGGTGAATGCAAGGGGTGATGAAATCTGTCAACTTCCCTCTAGGCTTGGCAGTATCTGGGTACCACTCAGGCAGAGAATGAACAGGAACTATTAGCCATCAGTGCCCTGCGGAGGTGAGTACACTGAAAGGTGGAGGCTGGGAATGGTTCCAGGGCTCTGCAGTAGCCTTTAGAATGGTAGGAGTTCAGACCCAGATCCTTGTCTTCTTTCTGGCCACCAACAGGAGTGTTTTTTCATGATAAAACCGTGAAGTTTGGAATGAGCTGGAGATAACTGGTTCTGTTCTCTTCTTCAGCTTTTGATTTCATTTGTGAGGCCATGGCTGGCTTCTTGGTCACTAAAACTTTTCCTCTTCTCAGATCTGTAACTTTATTAGTAACTTACATGTCAGAGGATTCCCATATCTTCCTGTATCTTAATCTGAAGGGTTTGGACAGGTGAGGCCATTGATCTGCATTTCAAAGCTTGATTTGGGTCTGTGAGTGCTGATGGGTGCCAGTGTCATTGCTGATACCAAGTCTGCCCACCTCTGTCCAAACAGGTGTCTGGAGCTAAAGCCAGATAACCGGACAGCACTGATGGCACTGGCTGTAAGCTTCACCAACGAGTCCCTACAGCGCCAGGCCTGTGAAACCCTGAGAGACTGGCTGCGCTACTCACCCACCTACGCCCATCTGGTGACCCCTAGTGAAGAGAGGGCTGGTGGGGCAGGACTGGGCCCCAGCAAACGTGTCCTGGGATCTCTGTTGTCTGAGTGAGTGTGAGGAGCTCCTGGGTTGAGAGATGGTAACCTGAGTCCCAAGTGGGAGGATGACCTTGATTTTGAAAGTTTGGATACATTAACACTCAAAGGTCCAAGAGTGGGATGAGAGACCCAGGATCAACTTGAAGGAGGTCTGCATGCTACAGTGCAGTGCTGGGATGAAACAGAAAAACAGGTTTCTAGGTTAGAATTTGGGAATAGGCGGGATGGCTGATAGATTGATGATTCTTGAGGATGTGATTGACTGACTAAGGAATTATTTGGAGGGTGTGGAGATATAAACATATCCATCTACCTACTTTTTCTGCGTTTTTTCTCTTGTAGCTCCATGTTTCTTGAAGTAAAAGAGCTCTTCCTGGCAGCTGTGCGCCTGGACCCTTCATCCATTGACCCTGATGTGCAGTGTGGTTTGGGAGTCCTTTTCAACCTCAGTGGGGAGTATGACAAGGCCGTGGACTGTTTCACAGCTGCCCTCAGTGTTCGTCCCAATGTGAGCCTCCAGGGAGGAATGGAAAATGGGATATGACTGTACTCTCTTGAAGAATTATTTGTTGGGACTTTTGAAGTCATGGTCTGTTTTGTTCTAACGTCCCATATGCTGACTGCGTTGGGAGGATTGGGAAACAACGGGTGGGAGTCCAGGGTCATCTGAACGTAAGAGTCTGCATGAGGTGAAGGGTTACATTGTGGCCACAAAGTGAACTGCTGAGAAAGGAATGGGATAGTGACAAATGTCAGCACAAAACAGAGTAGTGAAGTAGGGTGGGGCTAGAGGGATGGGTAGAGTTTGATCTGAACCTAGCTCATGTTCCTGATGCTTCTGCATCCCCATCCCAGGACTATTTGTTGTGGAATAAGCTAGGGGCCACCCTAGCCAATGGAAACCAGAGTGAAGAAGCAGTAGCTGCATACCGCCGGGCCCTGGAGCTACAACCTGGCTATATCCGGTCCCGCTATAACCTGGGCATCAGCTGCATCAACCTTGGGGCTCACCGGTGAGAGTATCTATTGAGTAATGAGTGAATGAACTCTTTCTCCCTACCTTTGTTCCTAGCTCCTCATTCTCTGATCCTGTCATTTGACTAACCAGCCCTAGCCTCCTCTACATGCCAGCAGTCTGCCTCCTTCCATTGCTGTTCTGCTCACCAGCTCTTATTCCTCTTCTTCCCTACAGGGAGGCTGTGGAACACTTTCTGGAGGCCCTGAACATGCAGAGGAAAAGCCGAGGCCCTCGGGGCGAAGGGGGCGCCATGTCAGAGAACATCTGGAGCACGCTGCGTTTGGCGTTGTCTATGTTAGGCCAGAGTGATGCCTATGGGGCAGCTGATGCCCGGGATCTGCCTGCTCTCCTAGCTATATTTGGCCTGTCCCAGTGACAGTGGGATGGGCTGCCCTGTGAGTGTCCGCCTGGAGGGGTCCCCGCTCTGGATGTGACTCTCTCTCCCTAGATGGGCCTACCAAGGGGGTGGGCTGATGACCACAAGCGGTACGGCCTCTCAGGAGCTGCCTCAGTTTAGGGGCAGGTAGTCCGTGTTCTCATCCCTACGTAATTGTAGGAAAATGAGCTGTGTTGTCTCTGAGTCCCTTGGTAATTCAAGGGCTGTACATCCAGCTACAGATCTCTCTGCTCATCATGCCCTTTCTTGGTGCTGCTTTTTGGGTAGGCCCAAAGATAGAGGGTAACTGTTGTCATCAGCTGCCATTTCTTACAGGGCCTACCACATTTGTAATGTCTGTCTTTTCCCCCACTTTTACTAGCTGTTGATCATAGTATAGCTTCCTTAGGCAGTTGCATGTAGGAGGTTCTCCTGCCGTGCACCTCTAAAGATGCCTATAGCTGGGATGGGATGTGTTAGGGGTTGGCGTGCTTGATTAAATGTTGATTGGGCTCAGCAGAGTTGAGTTTTGGTAGAGGTGCTCAGAGTTCTGTCATTCTTGGACTGCTTCTGGCTGTGAGCTTCAGATTCCCTGTGAGCACAATGCTGCAAGCAATAATGCCGGTATCATTATAGTAGGCGTCCTCTGGAGCTTAGGTGTGGGTCATTAAGGGGCCAGGGCCAGTTGCAGAGTGTTTGGGGGTTAGGGAGGAGGAAGGCTCGTTTGTGGAATGAGCCTAGAGCCAACCAGACGGGATCAGATCAAAGGCTATGTTCTGGGGGCTTTGGTGGGAGGACAGAGGAAGTGAGATGCAGGTTGTGAGTGTACCAGTCTCTCCTCTTCTTAGAAAAACCTGAGTGTAGGAGTTGAGCTAGCTCTTCTGGAAAATTGATTCAGAGATTGCAACCTTTCCAAATCCCTAGCCAAGAGGAGCATCAGTGTTACTGTAAGCCTTTGCTGTACTTCTTGAAATGTTTCTGGGGAGAGTGTCAAAAAATCCCCCTCCTCCCTGTTACCTCACAAGGTGAAGTTTGAGGGAAGATGAGGGAGCAGCTTGGATTCTTCTTAGCTTCTCGATGGGAAGATACACTAATCCCCAGAAATGACTGCTGAGCCTCTTGCCTTGTCTTCAGTAGTTAATGATCAGAGAGATTTTTTTTTTTAAACTACCATTGTCCCAAAGTTCCATCCTGAAATTTATTTTTCTTTGTATGAATGTGTACATGATTTAAAAATAAAACTGTAAAATATTTGTATGAAGAATAAATGGAGCTGATATGGGTATGAATCTTGCTGCCAGTTGTGAAGGTAGGGGCAGAAGGTGGGTTGGTGTTTGGAGGATTGGTATTCAACAGTTTTCCTCTTCTCAAAATCTAATTGTATGTTGATCATCCATCCATCCATCTACCCAGTAATTGTGGAGAACCTAATATATGTTTGGAGCCCTGCTGGTGCAGTGGTTAAGAGCTTGGCTGCCAACCAAAAGGTTGGCAGCTGGACTCCACCGGCTGCTCCTTGGAAACTCTATGGAGCAGTTCTGCTCTGTCCTATAGGGTCTCTATGAGTCGGAATTGACTTGATGGTAACGGGTAATATATGCTTTACGGGAGTATGAATAATATGGACAAGGTCCCCGTCTGTGGTCTAGCAGGAGAGAGATGTTTAACAATCATATACATTTTTCATACTTGTATCACTGCTACTACAAAGGAAAATACAGGGTGCTGTATAAAAGTTAAAGGCCCCTGAGTGATACAGACAGTTTGTACTTGGTTGCTCATCTAAAGGTTGACGGTTCAAACCACTCAGTGGCTCCATGAAAGACCTGATGATCTGCTTCTGTAAAGATTACAGTCAAGAAAACCCTATGGAACAATTCTACTCTGTAAAACATGGGTCTCCACGAGTTGGAATCAAATCAACAGCAATGGGTTTACGTAAAAGTTTGGTATTGTTTTTATTATAAGTGACGTAGGAGGATTTTTAGAATTTTTTCAGTGCTTAAGTCTTCTAAAGGAGCCCTGGTGGCACAGTGGTTAAATGCTTAGCTGCTAACCAAAAGATTAGTGGTTTGAAACCACCAGCGGCTCTGCGGGAGAAAAGATCTGGCGATCTGCTCCCATAAAGATTACAGCCTAGGAAACCCTATGGGGCAGTTCTACTCTGTCTTGTTGGGTCACTATGAGTCAGAATTGACTTGATGGTATACAACAACAAAAGACTTCTAAAGGTTTTCATCTGGTCGTGCCTGGTTTTATCAGGAACTGTGTATCAAGAGCCATATCGAGAACTTAAAAAAAAATATAGTTAACTTTTGATCTAGTAATTACACTTCTGGGTATCTCTCCTGGGGGGAAAATTAAAATATGAATATTTGTATTTGGAAATAGACGCTGATGGCCATTTTAGAATAGAAAAATAAATACTGAAAGGTGAGCTGGTTCAGTAAATTATCCAGATTGTGAAATATTATGTAGCTATTATTAATGGAACAAATTCCAATGACAATAAATGCTAACAGTGTAATGAGCCAAAGGGGAGGCGAGGGGGAAATCATTTCAAGGGAAAAATCATTGAGAAGAGAATAAGAGAATGTACCAGTATACTGAAAGTGTGGGATGATGAGTGATTTTCCCTGTTTCTTCATCCCATTGCTGTCAAGTCGATGCCAACTCATCGACCCTATAGGACAGAGTAGAACTGCCCCATAGGGTTTCCAAGGCTGTAATCTGTATGGAAGCAGACTGCCACATCTTTCTCCTGTGGAGTGTCTGGTGGATTCAAACCACTAACGTTTCAGTTCGCAGCCAAGTACTTTAACCACTGTGCCACCAGGGCTCCTTCCTCCTTCTTCATACTTCTCTGTAATTTCCAAATTCTCTATGCTTGTGTAATACTTTTATAGAAAAGGAAAGAAAACACACAGAGGGTAGGAGGTCAGAGACATTGGTGGCATCTGTGTCCTGGTTTCTTAACTGCCCAGGCCTGAGAGTATGCTGGATCATCTAGGCACAATTTCCACACTGTAGATGTAAGAAAGAAAATAAGTCTGGCTGAGTAAATGGTGGCTTGAGAGTTGAGCTAACTTCTGGTTTAGGCTAAGTCTCCAGGTTTCTCAGCTTCACCTGCTTTTGGTAGCCTGGTGTCCAAGAGGATGGTTTTCTTGCATGGTTAGTATCTCTTGGTATTTCTTATTGAACCAGAATCAAATTTAGCGAATATTTATTGAGCCCCTACCATGTACAAGGAGTCCTGGGTGGTGCAAAGGGTTAACACACTCGGCTGCTAACTGAAAGGTTGGAGGTTTGCGTTCACCCAGAGGCACCTTGAAAGAAAGGCCTGGTAATCTGAAAAAATCAGCCATTGAATATCCTATGGAGCATAGTTCTACTCTACCACATACGGGGTCGCCATGAGTTGGAACAGTTGAACGACAACTAGTTTGGTTTTTCATTGTGTGTGTATGTATGAATATGTATCAAGCTTAAGAATTACATTTAGGAAAGAACTCAATATGGATAATGATAGGTGGAAATGACCAGAAGCAAATAGATCAGAAACCTAGAAAGTTTTTGAGAAATTACATTGCAAAGATACCATAACTCAGGACTAAAGAAAGCCAGTGACTGAGTTATAAAACAACCTTTGGACCCCCAAATTTTATTTGCAGTTTTCGATTGCCTCATATACATGCAAAAGCTGGACAGTGAATAAGACCGAAGAATTTATGCATTTGAATTATGGTGTTGGCAATGAGTATTGAACATACCACGGACTGCCAGAAGAACAAGCAAATCTCTTTTGGAAGTAGTACAGTCAAAATGATTCTTAGAAGCGAGGATGGTGAGACTTTGTCTCAAGTACTTTGGACACATTATCAGGAGGGACCAGTCTCTGGAGAAGGACATCATGCTTGGTAAAGTAAACGGTCAGCAAAAAAGAGGAAGACCCTCAACGAAATGGATTGATACAGTGGCTGCAACAGATGGGCTCACACGTAGTATTGATTGTGAGGATGGCGCAAGACTGGGCAGTGTTTCATTCTGTTGTACATAGGGTTGCTATGAGTTGGAACCGACTTGACGACGGCACCTGACAACAACAACAATAAACTGGAGGCATGCTCTTCAATGCCCACTTCAGATGTGGCCAAGGAAGATAATTGACAAGAAACAACCTCCCAAAGGGTGGATCAGGGACCACAGGTCACAAGGGACAAGAGAGTTTTATAGAATAGGATCAGGGTCTAATCAAGAGACTTCTCCACCACTAGGATAGAGGCCTTCATAATGCCTGCCCCGGAAGGATTCCAGAATTGCTATGGACCTGTAACTGCTGTGTACCACCCATTTTTCCCCTTTCAGAACGGACGTTTTCGTTTTTGTTATCCTGAACCTGCTATTATATCCTAGATGTATGGGTGGACAGGTAAGTTTTTTTTGTTCATGAGTTAACAGACCATGAGAAGTATATCCAGACTTGATGGAGAGGTTGAACATTTTCTCAATATCCTAGATTTTAAGTTTGATTTAGTGACTGATTGGGATTTTGGATTGTCTCCCTAGCAGAAGTGATAAAGCTGCCCTATGTATGGGAAGACATGCGCAAATGGATATTTGAGGCCAGAACAGTGGAGTATGGCAGAGTTTGCCAGTGCTCACCAATATCCATGTTCTCCTCTTCCTGAGTACACGGAGAATACATTCCCAGCTTCCTTGAATCTAGATTGGGCCATATGACTCATTCTTGCCAATAGAATGTGAGTGGAAGTAAGAGTATCACTTCTGGGCTGAGACAGTTAAAGTGGGTGTGCCATTTCCATCCTCTTTCATCCATCCATTGACTAAAATACAGAAGAAGGTAAAACCTTAGAAAATTTGAAGCCACACTGAAGGAGCCTGGGTCGCTGAATGACTGTGTGGAGCAGAGCACTCCTGCTGACTCATATTGGACTATGACATGAATGAGAAATAAACCTTTTTAAGCCCCTGAGGTTTTGTGGTTGTTTCTTTCAACGTTAGCCTTTTCTGACTAATACAATTAGTTATTATTGTTAAAAGCATCATCCCCTTTTAGTTTTCCAGACTGGAAACCTTAACTCCCAACTTGCATCAGTTACTAAGTTTGTAACTGATTCTTTTTTTATTCTTTCTTTAAATATTATTTATTTTGTAATATTTGAGACATACAAAGAATACATTTAACTTAATATGTAATTTATGATGCACAATAATGAGATTCTTTTCAGCTTCACAGCAAGAATTCTATCAATAATGTTGAAACTGTGCTTTTCCTCTATTTTATCTTCTTGCTGTTTCCTGAGAAGTAACTACTACCCTGCTTTTTACAAAATACTTTTATCACATATGTATGCTTCACAAAACAACAGCTTATTTTTGAGTTTTCTAAAAATGGTATCATGCTGTTGTAGTTTCCTGGGATTTGCTGTTTTTCATTTAATATTATGTTTCAATGACTCATTCATATTTCAGTGTACAGCTGCAGTTAATGAATATGCCACAATTTATTCATTCTGTTGATGAACATTTAAGTTTCCATTTTTTGACTATAGTAATGAACACATTGTTGCTATGGATATTCTTGTAGCTGTCTCCTGGTGCACATGTGTAAGAGATTCTTGGGAACTTGTCAAAGAATAGAATTATTGGGTGTAAGATATGTGAATGTTTAATTTATAAGGTAATGGTGAATTGTTTTCAAAGTAAGTGTGCTCATTTACATTCCCACCATCAGTGTATGAGTTCCCATTGTTCTGTATCACTTCCACGCTTAATATTATTAGGTTCCAACTTGTTCTCTAACTTGGTATTGTTAGACATGATTTTTCCGTTCTAGTGGCTTTAAAATGGTATTTTATTCTGATTTTAACTTGCGTTTCTCTGACTGATAGAGATTGAGCATCTTTTTATGTTTTTTGGCCATTCATATTTCCCCTTCTGTGAATTGCCTAGTTTATGTCGATTGCCCATTTTTTACATTGCACTGTCTTTTTATTACTGATTTGGTAGAAGATCTTTTATATTCAGATACTATTCCATATGTATTACAAATAATTTCAGTTTTTGGCTTTGCACTTTATGGTATCTTTGGGTTAACAGAAGTCCTTAATTTTAATGTAGTTGAATTTCTTGATCTTTTTTTTTAAATGATTATTGCTTTTTGTGTGTAGTTCAAAAAATTCTTGCCTACCTCAAGGTCACAAGACACCCCACATATTATTTTATAAGTATTAATGCTTTGAATTTCACATTTAAAATTTTATATGAAATTGATTTTTATGTATGGTGTGAGATAAGGATCCAATTTTTTTCCCATATGGATGATTTGTTATTTCAGTACTATTTATTGAATGATGACTCCTCTATTTTCTAGTGATCTACAATGCCACCTTCATCATATATCAAGGCTCCATATATATATGAGTCTGTTTCTGACTTCTGTTTGGTTTCATTTGTCTTTTTGTTCATCCCTGTGCCAATATCATACTGCCTAAATGGTCTTTGTTGTTGCTGTTGTTAGTTGCTGTTGAGTCGATTCCAACTCCTGGTGACCCCATGTGTGCAGAGTAGAATTGCTCCATAAGGTTTTCAGGGCTGTGATCTTTTGGACGCAGATTATTAAGCCTTTCTTCTGAGACACCTCTGGGTGGGTTTGAACCGCCAACCTTTTGGCTAGTAGTCGGGTGTTTAATCGTTTGCACCACCCAGGGACTCCCTTGATAGTCTAATTTTGTCATAAGACTTGGCCATCACTCCCCCAGTTTATTCATTTCCAGGAATTTTGTTTTTTATTTCTTGAGTCTGCTTTTTCATGTATATTTTTGAAACA